TCTAGTTCCACAGAGAAGCATGGGATATGCACACAGAGCGCTAGATCAGCTCCAGTCAGCTCTTCCCAATCCCACCACTAAAGGCTGTTCACTCAAGCCTTCTTCACTCTCTACACATGCAGCTGTCAGGCTCTCACGCTGCTCGCAAGAAATGTTGGATCATCAGAACGTCAATGCGAAACCTCAAATACAGCATGACATAGCATTGTTTTCAGAAATGGACTAAAAAAAGATCACATCCTATACTGTAACTCAATTACAATGAAAACAGACAGAAAGTACAGGTGGTTTGGGACGAGTGCTAACAAAGAAAGGCACTGATTTCTAGAGTAGGGAAAAGCTCATGCACTCTTCTCCTGGATAAGCTCATGTGAATCAGGCATGCAGGTTGCAAAACTAATAAAAGTAAATTGAAAGACAATCAAGTGTTCCGTACTGTTAAGTACAGTATTATCTAGAACCCATAACGACAAACATTATTTGCATAATCTGAATAAATAAACAAAAAGAAAGATCTTAAAATAAAACAGTGGGAAGATGCAACAAAATGCTTGTTTATACTTTATGAAATATCTACACACAAATTCATGTATTCATTCTATTCAATCTGATGTCTGGACCGGACTATATATTTATACACAGTTATAAAACTCGATTTACTTCCTATCTCTCTCTTGTTCTCTAGTCTACAGGTTAAGACTTTGAAAGCTCACTTGTCAAGCTTTAAAGGGGTCATAGGATGCCCATGTTCCACAAGTTGATATGATTCTTTAGGGTCTTAATGAAAAGTCTGTAACATAGTTTGGTTAAAATTTCTCAATGGTAGTGTAAAAAACACTTTTTACCCTGTCAAAAACAGCTCTTTTCAGATCAAGCTGTTTTTGTAGCATTTTCCTTTAAATGTTAATGAGCTCTGCTGACCCCGCCCCTCTCTTCCGAGCTGCTCTCAGGGAGACTGTTCACTTTAGCCGCATTCATCAGTGAAACTTGCTAATTAGCACATTATTAGGAAAGGCGATTTGCAAAGATTCATTACAAAACATTATACTCACTTCTTCTGTAGATGAGACTGGATCATGAATGATTCGCGCGAACATAGACGCATTTATGTAGATCGGGGGTGCATTCTCTTCAAAAACAAACAATCCACTGCATCTTCAGCGGCTCAGATGTCGGGAGTAAACGATGACTGCTATGTTCATTATTACATCCAACCTGAGATCGGCTCGATTTAAGAAAGGGGAAAACATTTAACCAGATTAAAAAAAAAAACATTGGGTGGATTTGTATCATTATAGGATGGTTGTGTACACACACTGCCAACACACATTTCAGTTCAAACAACTTGTAAAAGTGCATGTAACATCCTATGACCCCTTTAAGAATTATTGTTGAAGGTGTAGAAACTGCTGCTCATGACATTAACTGAAATGCATGAAGGAAACAGTTTCACACAGGGATTCATCTAAGATTTGTGCGAGCTATGATTATGATTGTAATGGAACCTAGTTGCAACTGAGCCCATGTGATTCTAAAGGCAGAGTACTGAAAAAAAACTGGATATCTAAATATTGACCGTTCAGTTTAGCGGTGTGTTATTGTGTGAAATTATTTCTCCAATTTTACTCCATAAATCATGTTGTCAGCCACGTTGAGCTGTAACTTAAGTCCACTAGGTGGCAACGTTGCAGAGAACATTGTACTCTTGGCGAACTAACTATATATATATATATTATGATTTCCCCACAGTTACAAAATATTCTAAATGTAAAAGTGATGTTGAATGCTAAATAGCTTCTTAATTCACATAAAAATTCTCTGGGGTAAGAAGTTTGAATATCCTGAAATCAGCTCTGGATGCTATAAAACAGTGGTTTAAAGAGATAGTTCACTCAAAAAAAAAAAAGTCATCTGTCGATTGTCTTCTTTTGAACACAAAAGAAGATAATTTGAAGAATGTTGGTAACCAAACAATTGACTTTGACTTCCATAGTATGAAAAAAATAATACTATTGAAGTCAATGGCTACCGTGAACAGTTTGGTTACCAACTTCCGTAACTTCTTTTGTGTTCAACAGTAGAAAGAAGCTCATACAGGGTTGGAAGAAGTGGCGAGTGAATAAATAAGGACAATTGTCATTTTTGGATGAACTATCCCTTTAAGCAATGCTTTGAAAGACATTTCTTTGACATTAACAGAGCTCCTTTGCAGACACACAAATACTGATGGTCAAAACCTCCAAATGAAAACAAATACTGTACGGCTGCAGACAGCCGACGTGCTTAGATAGTTAGCTCAATAAATAAAACCACATGTCAAGATGCTTTGAGAACAGTGATATAGTGCTGGAAACATGTAAACATAATGTGACGTTTTTTTCAAAAGGACTTTACAATTAAGATACATATAAGCAGCATTACTTTGTAACAGTGTTTCTTAAGACAAATACAACATGTGTGCTTTGATTTGCTACCTGTAGCTTCCAAATCTATAATACAGCATCTTGATCAGGTTGGCAAATGATTCTGAACCAAAAAAAAAAAACACCAGCTGTTAAGATCTATTTCAAATATATTTTAGAAAACATACAACATCTTAATCTTTATTTGACTATCCACCTGTTTTTGGCTGGACCCACTGTTGTAGTTCTGGAATGATTCTGTAGAAATTTAAAGGCTGCAGAGTCACAGGTTTGCACTTTATGTGAAGAATGTTTACTGTTATACTGTATACGTGACACATTATTAACTTAAAAATAAAATTATGAAAATGTACTCATTCTCAAGCCATCCAAAATGTAGATAAATTAAGTTTGTTTCTTCATCAGATCAGTTTTGGAGAAATGTAGCATTGCATCACTTGCTCACCAGTTGTTCCTCTGCAGTGAATGGGTGCCGTCAGTCCAAACAGCTGATAAAATGATAAAAACATCACGAAGTTTGTTTCTTCATCAGATCAGTTTTGGAGAAATGTAGCATTGCATCACTTGCTCACCAGTTGTTCCTCTGCAGTGAATGGGTGCCGTCAGAATGAGAGTCCAAACAGCTGATAAAAACATCACAGTAATCCACACCACTCCAGTCCATCAGTTAACATCTTGTGAAGCGAAAAGCTGCAAATCCATCAAAACATTTTTAACTTCAAACTGCTTCTGGTTAAAATACGAGTCCTCTATCCATAATATTGCTTTCTCCAGTGAAAAAGTCGTCTCATTTGAATCAGGAAAGAAATATGCACAGATCAAGCACTGTTTACAAACAAAAATAGTCCAGAACAGCTCTAAACTAGCGTTATCATGGATTATGGACTCATATTTTGAGCAGAGGCACCGGTTTAAAGTTAAAAAGGTCTTATTACTGGATTTGTTTCTTACAAACACGCAACTTTTCACTACACGAGACATTCATTGATGGTATGTGGATTACTGTGATGTTTTTATCAGCTGTTTGGACTCTCATTCTGATGGCACCCATTCACTGCAATGTAGTGTTAATTTTGTTAACGAAAACTATGACGAAAAATGTTTGTTGATGAGCTTTTTCCCATGACTAAGACGAGACGATGATGAGACGACAATAAGGTCAATAAACGATAACTGTGACTATATCAACATGTACCGTATTGACCCCGAATATAAGACGATGTTTTTTTCTTGGAAATACATTTGAAAAAATGCGGTCGTCTTATATTCAGGGTCTAGACTTTGACATCTCAATAATACACCCACAACAATAGGTGGCGCCAAATACGCATAAAACGAGTGTGCCATGAAATACGTAATGTAATGCGTGTTGTAAAGATCTTGAGTAAAAGAAAAAGAAAAGCTTACAGCTGCATGAGTCGTGACTGTCACGTTAGCCTGATGGGACCAAACTCCCTTTGTGATTTTAAAACGTAAGACAGTACCCAGATTTGAAGACTACAGTAAGATTTAACTTCTACTGTTAATAAGATTTTGGTAGGCTACTATTAGATGGATAGCCTAAA